GCTCAGCAGTTAAGAGCACTGGCTGCTCTTGAAGAGGACTTGGGTTTGATTCCCAGCACCCACGACAGCTAACAGACAGGTGTAACTCCAGTCAGGGAATTCAATGCCTTCTTCTGATCTTCATGGGCATTGCATGACATAGGTGCATTTACATACATGCAGGCAATACACTCATACACATAAAACAAAAAATAATAAAATATTTTTTAAAAATCTAAAGAGAAACAAGAGATTTCAAGTCTTTACAAACCAATCATCACTAGCAGGAACAGCACCATTAAGTGACAGGAAATGCAATCCTGGACACAGAGCAGAGAAGCAGGCCTGAAGCCCAAGCACAGGCCTTGGGCCATGTGGACAGCCCACAGTGGGACAGGTCCAGGGCAGTGCCACCTTCCCCAGCAGCGCCCCCTCTGGAAACTGCAGAGTGGGTCCCCTGCGGTTCTTGGATATCTGGTCTCAGTGGCCTCTGTTAAGGCCAGTGAACTTTCCATAGTCCCAGGGGATGCTGCTGATGGTTTCACCATTTGCAGCCTCACTAAATACAGAGTTTGTGCTCCTGGCAGCAGGTAGATTAATCCACAGCACAGGGCTGGACCCACTGCACGAGTCTTTGATGCCCTCTAGTGGCACTTTGGTACACAACACTGATGCCACGTAAGCACTCAGGTTAGAACTCCACCTTCCCGCCCTCAGGTGTCTCTCCCTAAGGTGCAACAGCAAAGAGCACTGTGAACTCTGCTATCACAGGATCCGGATGATCTGACAGAAGCATGACTCGCTTAGCTCACTTTGGGATTCAGTACAAGGGTCTCGTGACTGTATTCAAAGACTCCCCATCCCCTAGCCTATCAAGAACAGGCACCTCATTGTTCCTAAAATTATCCCCAGCTCCTAAAGCCTGGAGATAGGACTGCATGGAGGTGATGTGAATGACCAACTTTGGAAGTTTATTTCCAAATCAGTGCCCATAACATAGGAAAGGGGGGTCTCAGCTCCCCTACCTCCTTCCCCTAGGGAACCACTGCCTTGTCTGAACGCTTCATGGGCTCTGTCCTTGCTGCCCTGCCCTTCTGCAGCCCAGGCTATGTCCAGGTTACTGAGGTGGACATAGACCCAAAAGGCTGAATATGGGGATTCAAAGAGTTCAGAGGAGAAGCTATGGGGTGTGGGGTGAAAGATGGTCAGGCTGGAACATGGGCAGCAGGAAAGGCAGGTCCCAGCAGTTTCATGAAATCTTCCCAATGGCACAAGGACCAATGACTTACTAGAGGAAGACAGTTATTTGCAGGGGGGTGTCAAGGAAACCTAGAGTGGGGAGCAAGCAGTCCATTCCACATCCTGGAAGTATTAAGCTCAATTCTAGGCCTACAGATCTATGGAAACCTGAGCCTGCTACAGGGCCAGGTCCCTTGTGGAGGAAAGCATGGGTCATCACCTTCCATCAAGGATTACCCCCCTGACTCAAAGAGACAGCTCAGACTAATTCTGGGGAGGCCAAGAAGAAAGACAGGTGGCAACAGGTAGGGTCCTCAAGGAGAAGTTTCTAGTTGAGTTTTTTAAAAAGAAAATATGAAACCATCTCCCCAAGAACAGCAGGAGGGACTCCCGTCATTGGATGTAAGAGCCAGGCAGCTGCTGTCAGCTTCTGCTAACCACATTCTCCTTACATTGCACACTGGTATATGGCAGAACCAGCCCCTCTCCACTGAGAGCCTGAGCCCATCACAAATGGCTGCCTTTCATCTAGGACAGCAGACCCAATCATCATTAATGGTTCTGCTGCTCACGCATGACCACGGGGGCCTGTGCTCCTGCAGCTTGATGTCTATGTGGTTGTCAGAGATGAAAGAAGCCCAGAATCTAACACCAAGTCCCTGCTGACCTTAGGGACAAGTCCATTCTATCTCCTTAATTAAACAATGAAAGGATGTCAGGAAACCCCATTACCCACAGTGAATGCAGTCTAGCAATTAAGAGGGTCATGAAGGGGACTCCAGCCCAGGCAGATCTGACTTTGTGTTCTGGAAATCACCCCAGGACCCTGCTGTCTTTTCCTGATTACGTATTGGTTCAGTCTCTATGGACTCAAAGAGGCTGAGCTAATGCCTTTCTATGGCTTGGGACAGTTGAAGGGATATCAAGCCTGAGAGAGCATGTGGCTGGACAATCTGATGACAAAATGGCCTGAGCTCACAGGCTAAACCAGACCCTGCTCTTACTGCTTCAACAGGAGCACCATCTTTCTTCACTCACGGGGCCTAGGCAGTGCCTAGAGAGCAGGGTCAAGGAAGAGAGGGCTTCCAGTCTCACCTGCCTAGGCCCTGCCTTCCACACCCTGAACTTCATCAAAGTGCCCTCCTTCTAGTGATTGAGCCTGGGCACACCCACCCCTTACTGTCAGGCCTCAGCAGCACAACCCTAGAAAAACATGGCAGCCTGTACACCTTTCCTTGAGAACAATCCCTCAAGGGAGCCACTGGAACAGCAAAGAGTTTTGCTATGAAATCTTTAACTTAGTTTGTTGTCAGTGCATATCTATGTGCCACTTCTGAAGCTAACTCGTGGACCCGAGCAAGTGAGTAAATATTGCGACCTGGTTAGAAGAGAGATGCAGTGAGGGAATGGGAGAAGGCAAACAAGAACTCTGAGGTGTGAATTTACTAATAAAATAGACAGACATGGAATAGATGATTGAGAAATAGATGATGGAGAGATGACAAGGATTGCTAGGTACATGAATGATAGATGACTGATAGATGATTGATACATGGATGATAGATGATCAATGGATAGGTAAATAGAGATAAATTATTGATACTTAGATGGTATATGATAAATAGATGCTAAATAAATGATTAGATAGATGATTGATAAATGATGATAGATGATAGATAGATAGATGACAGATAGATAGATGATAGATAGATAGATGATAGATAGATGACAGATAGATAGATGATGATAGATAGATAGATGATAGATAGATGACAGATAGATAGAGATTGATAGATAGATAGATAGATAGATAGATAGATAGATGATAAATAGATGATGGATGATAGATAGAAAGATGATGGATAGATGATAGATAAATGATATACATAGATGAAACAAACAGATGGATAGATACACAAATACATACATGGACAGGACTGGAAAGCAATGACATCCTAGAGACAGTGAGCACACCAACTGCTCAGTTGTTGGTTGCAAAACACCATTACCCACTATAATGAGAAATAATTAATTCCAATGCTGGGCCAAGGAAAATACTGGGGGAGGCTAGAACATCCTATACCAAGAAGTAAGAAAGTGTTCCCAAAATTATGTGACTATGTGGGAGAAAACATAAGAGGCAATATGAAGGACTTCCCCACTGGCTAAATGTAAACATGAGCAGCAAAATGAATAAAGGTAGCAATGAATTGTAAGACTAAATTAAAAAGGAACCCATGAGGCCATAAGTAAGTGGAAGAAAGAACTGGTTTGCAGCAGAATATGAAGTATTCAAATAAGGTGACAGCAAATTCCCAGTTTATAGCTCCCACTGCCACATGACATGGGTAGGACTCTTCCGTGGGTGGGGAAGCCCTGAGCTAGTGTTTGTGGGAAACAGGATCCTCACAGAGGTTCCCACAGATGATTTATTACTCACAAAGGGAAAATGGTATTTTTCAAGTGGAGAGACCGGGCAGACATCAGCACAGCTGAGTGATCACAGTTAACATCACCAATAATCGGACAAAGTGCCATCAAGTGCCCCAGAGGTGAAACATGGAGGAGGCAAGGACATCACTTATGCAGAATTCCTGCCCAGTGTGACTAACCTGGACCTAATGGTGACAACAGTCAGCAAACCCAAATTGAGAAGCACTGCAAATTAACTGAGCTGAGTTGCTCAGGAATACCTATGAAATGAGACCAGAGAGACACAACAGTAAGAGCAGTACATGGTCCTGGAATAAATCCTGGTTTGGAAAAAAACACAGGTGCTGTAAAGGACATTATTGGGCCTACTGATGAAATTTGAATATGCCTAATATATTAAAACATGCACTGTATCATTGTTAAATTTCCCAAGTCCCTGTTCTTAGGAATTACACGCTGAGAGCTTTAGGAATGAAGAGTTAGGATCCCTGCGGCTTATTCCCAGGTGGTTCAGAAAAGATCAGTATCCAGCAGAGCTTGCTTCTACTTCTAGGGTCTCTATATACCCCCTCTTCAGAAAGAGCACGGTTGTACTAGCAAACTTCACAGATCCCTGACCTGCCTCAGAATCGGCTTCCTGGAGTCAGATGCCTACCTCTTGTCCAATCAGCTTAGGCCCAGGCTGTGTCATGTGATCCATAACATGGCTGCCATCAGTGCTTCCTCAATGCAGATCTCTCTAAGAAGGCCTGTGGCAGGTCATAGGCATGGCTGCGCTGGCACATGTTGTAACTCCAGCTAACTCCAGAGGCTCCTGAAGGCCTCCCTACTGCAGTACTACTGCTCTCCCTTGCTCTTTCAACAAGCCTTACAGATAGCTCTTCTTGGCCAAGATTACTACAATTTTTTAATATGACATTTGTATTAATTCTTTGAGAAGTTCATAAAATGTATTTCGATCATATTTAGCCCCCACTCCTAATTCCTCCCAGATCCACTCCCTGCCTCCCTGAATTTGTGTCTTTTTATTTTTATTTTTATTTTTTTGTCTTTTTTGAGACAGGGTCTCCTTGTAGCCCCAGCTGTCCTGGAACTCACTATGTAGACCAGGCTGCCCTCGAACTCAAAGATCCTCCTGCCTCTGCCTCCCAAGTGCTGGGATTAAGGGCGTGTGCCACCACGCCTGGCTTATTTTTATTTTTAATACATTGACTCAAATTTGTTATGCCCATATACTCCTGGGTGTGGGACCATCCACTGGAAGGTGATTGACCTAGCACAGGCCACACATTTAAAGAAAACTGACTGTCCCATCCCCAGAAGCCATCAGCTGTCCATAGCTCCTCAGTAAAAACATAGGATGAATCACAGATTTGCCTGTCATCCTTGTGTGGGTGCCATGCTGATCTTCTCTGTACCACTTCAACTTTAGTATATGTGCTGCCAAGTGAGCACTGGTCTTTTAATTATTTTTATGTGTATGAGTGTTTTCCCTGCATGTGTGTTGAGTGTACCTGCACATGCAGTGGCCACAGAGGCCAGAAGAGGGCATTAGATCCCCTGAAACTGGAGCTACAGATGGTAGTTAGCCACCATGTGGGTGCTAGAAAGTGAACCCAGATCCTTTGCAAGAGCAGCCAGTGCTCTTAACTGCTGAGCCATCTCTCCAGCCCCTGAAGTGAGCACTATTACTGAAACTATTACGTGTCAGAGCCTGGGCCCTGACATCTCCAATAAGCCAGATTCAGTCACTTGCCCTTAATAAGCCAATTAAACAAACAAGGAACAGTAAAGAGGAGAAATGGGAGATTTATTCAATGTGGCCACATTGGGAAGAACAAAGATCCAGTGATGTTCTCACCTAAACCATCTTCAAGGTCCTGACATGAGGTTTAGGTTTAAGTGGAGGGCCAGACATTGCATAGCTAAGCAGTCCTGGTCAAGGTGTGGTCCCCCCAACATCAGCTCATCATTGTCCTGGCTCCAGTCTCTTCTGTAAGATAGTCTGAGAAGTCAGCACCATGTGTAATCTCTTTCCAGGAAACAAGTTCCCCTTCTGATTGGCACCAGACTTCAGCTTTTTCTTTCTACCAGATGAGATTCCTGAGGGAAATTCCAATTCCTTGGGGTGCCTTGTGTCATTAGTCTGGTAGCAGAAGCGAAGGGCACAAGTATCTCTTTAGAATAATCTTTGCCAGGTGGCACATAACTTTAATCCCAGAACTTAGGAGGCGTAAGCAGGTGGAGCTCTGAGTTTGATGCCAGCTTCGTCTACATAGTGAGTTCCAGTTCAGCTGGGGCTACGGGGAGACTCTGTCTTATATAAAAACAAAAACAAAAATAATCTTTACTTCTGTCAGGATGCTTACAAGGTCTTATTAGATCCTAGGGCACAGAACTGACCCAGGTCTTACCCTCAGCAGCTCTGGCTCTAGTGGGACAGACACAAAGAAGGGGGCAAGGGTTGGGTTACATCCAGCAAGCAGAAGACAGCTGATGCTAGCTGGTAACTTCGCCCCACACCGTGGGAACACAGAGTTGGTGTCCAAAAGCTCTCCTGAATGTGTCTCTGGTTGTGGGTATGGGAGGGAGAAGGGCCCTTGGCTAGGGACCCCGCTGTTGGAAGGGTGCCCATCCATCCTGGGATTTCTGTTTTTTCTAGCCGGACCCAGCAGGCCGGGACATCTCCATCCGCCCTCTGCTGGAGCACTGCGAGAACACCCACATGACCATCTGGCTTGGTATAGTCTACGCCTACAAGGGGCTTCTCATGGTAAGTATCAAGCAGGAGGCAGAGCTGGGGTATACTCCTCTGCCAGGCCTTCTCCCGTAGGGGCCTTCATCAACATGAACATAAACAGAGTCCCCCCTTCAACCCACCCATGACTAAGCTCATACTCTCTGAGGGAGTCTGGTCTCAGACCCTACCACAATCCTAGGAGACACCCACAAATGATGTTTCCTTCCTAAGGCAAGGTTGTGTTCCCTCTGCAGGCTCTAAGGGGAGGGCCTCCCTGGCTTCCTTAGTGAAAGTAACTCTGGGAAGCGCTTGGCTTGTAAGTGATGGTTTTTCTTTACCTCCTTCCCCTCTTCTCTCCAAATCCTTGTCATTGGAGTTAGGGATCAATAAGGTAATCTAGAACAATCTCATCCCAAGATCCTTAGTTGTATCTGCAAAGACGCCACCCCACCCCACACCCACTCCCCAGCCCCCAGCACCAGTAAGGCCACATTCACCATTTCCAGGTTGTAGACATACCTGTGAGGGCCACCATTCACCTACTTCAGATAAGTTGTTTTTCTAGAAGTTTCTTCCTAGTCTCAGCTGAAATTTCTACAGCACAGCTTGTACCCATGAATTTTCATTCCAGTCCTTAAAGGCCTAAAAATACATGACTCTGTTTCCTCCTAACACTCTTCAGAGATTTGCAACCAGGTTCCCAGACATGCCCATGTTGCATGACTCTCACACTGGTTTGGTGGCATGTTGGCGTTGTGGCAGGAAGACACACTACATCCTGAGCACATGGCTCCCATCCGCCCCGACACTCACTGCTGCTGGCCCTAGACAGGTCCTTTCAACTGCTCAAGCCTCTGCCTCTTCCTAAGTGGTGACACAACCTCAAGGGACTGAAGAGTCATTCTTGAAGAAGAAGCACAGGTCGGGCTTCCAGAGGAAGCTGCTTCCTTTCCTCACCTCGGTTTCTGCTTCCAAGGTTGTTGGTTTCCTAGTAAAGGAATTTGAAAAAGAATCATCAGGCATGGGGATTACACACCTGTAATTCCAATGTTATCAAATTTGGAGTCACAGCCAGTGCCCCAACAATCCAGGTTCAGCCACTCATCCTC